GCGGGGCCGAGGCGCTGCTGCTCACCGTGCGCAAGGACGGGCCCAACCACGGCCGGCAGTTCTACAAGTGCAGCTCCAGCTCCTGCAACTTCTTCCTCTGGGCCGATGAGCAGGCAAAGGACAGAGGCACCACGGCTCCACGGGGCTCTGTGCTCCCCCAGCCCGCGGCGGGGAGGGGCCCAGGAGGAAGGAGAGGTCCAGAGACGTTTGGGAGCAGCAGCTCCGAGCCTGGCGCTGGCACGGTGTGCAGGTGTGACCAGCCGGCCGTGACACGCACCGTGCTGAAGGATGGGCCCAACAAGGGCAGGCAGTTCCACACCTGCCCCAAGCCCCGGGAGCAGCAGTGCGGCTTCTTCCAGTGGGCAGATGAGAACGTGGCACCAGGTAAGGCCGGGCTTGGGGTGGGACACGAAGGCTGGAGGATGTTCTTAAGCTAAACAAAGGAAGGAGCTGCTGGAGAGGGTCCAGCAGAAGCCAGGAAAATGATGAGGAGTCTGGAGCAGCTCTCTGATGAGGAGAGACTGCGAGAGCTGGGCCTGGTTAGTCTGAAGAAGACAGAGGGGGTCTCATTAATGCATATAAATATCTCGAAGGCAGGTGCCAAGAGGATGGTGCCAGACTTTTTTTGGTGGTGCCCAGCAACAGGACAAGGAGCAATGGCCATAAACTAAAACACAGAAAGTTCTACCTCAACGTGATTTTACATTGAGGGTGGCAGAGCACTGGAACAGCTGCCCAGGGAGGGCGTGGGGTCTCCCTCTCTGCAGACATTCCAAACCCACCTGGACATATCCCTGTGTCACCTGCTCTAGGTGATTCAGCCTTGACAGGGGGGTTGGATGATCTCCAGAGGTCCCTTCCAACTCCAGCTATTCTGGGATTCTGTAAACTGAACACACCTCTCGCACATGCTCGTGCTGCACAGCTCTTGTGGCACCTCATACATTTAAGGCGTCAGGTTTGTCTTCAGAACATCTGTCAGCAGCTTTATAGCACTGCAAATGTTGCTTTTAACAACAAAGTCTGGCTTACCTCTCCAAGTGCTGGCAGGATACATCCTCACAGCACACATCTGAGCTCTGAGCAGGATGCTTGGCTTCTGTGTGCAGTGAACTTGACCATCTGTCTGTCCATGACTCATTGGATAAAGCCCAGGACTCTTTCCAACAGTCTGATTGGGAATTTGTCCTCCCAAATTACAGTGCTCAGCTTTGTGAGAGCTGTTACCGACTTGGTGCAGAGTTGATGCAGTGGCACCACTTCTGGAGATCTTAAACCCCACCCTGGCATGCCAGGGAAACTGCTGCTCCCTCTGCCCTAGTTTAGGGGTGTAGGGAAAGGCCAAGTCATTCTGGAGCTTTGATCAGAGATCAAACCGAGTGTGAGAAGATGCTGAAAACAAAAATAATCACAAAATAAGGATGCAAAAGAGAGAGCACTGACAAAGGGACAGTAACCAAGTACAGAAGGGGAGATGTGGTCTGTGAGGGATCTTCAGCACTGACCTCCTCCTCCTCCTCCTCCTCCTTAGAATTGTGGGCCTAAAGGGGTAGAATCAAGTTTTCAAAACTACTTAAACCCCAGGTTTTCCTCTGGCATGTTTTGTTTCTGCTTTAGCTGTAGACCAGAGCAGCTTCCCCTGTTCTGTTCCCACGTCTCTAATGCTGCAAGACAAATGGGTTACATTTAACTGTTCAAACAAGTCTGAAGCAAGTGCAGGTTCAGGAATAATCTGAGAATCCTGCTATTTCAAACTTACCTTCTGTTTCTCACCTACTTATATTTTCAAAGATGCTTAAATTCAAGTCATTTCTCTCTAGGTCCTTCTGGAGATGGCTCTTTGAACAACTTTGGCAGCAGTGAATACTCAAGAGGGTTGGGAAGCAAAGCCAAGAGACCAGGCAGTTTCTCCTCAGGATCCACTGCCAAGAAACCACGGACCTGTGGCATTTGCCACCAGCCTGGGCACAACAGGAAAAACTGCCCTCAGAACCACTGAGCTGGGATGGACCCCTGAGAGCCTGAAAGGACCAGGGTTGTGAGCTCCTACAGGAGCAACTACTGCCACAGGGAACTGGAGTCTGGAAACAAGTCCCTTGAGTGTTTTTTGGAAGAGCTGGTTGTAGACTGCTCCTGCCAAGGGATGGCATCCATTACAGCAAGGGTTCCACCAGCTTGGAAAAGTGGTTCTACTACCAGTGTCAGCTTTTGTTTTCAGCTGCTCTTCTCCTGAGCAGATTGGGGTAGTCTAAACATTTCAAGGAAGCACTTGGATGCTGAATCTGCAGAGAGGACTGTGCTGAATCATCCCCCCTGCACCATCCCGGTGGTTGTACCAGCATTTCCACAAGGAAGAGCTGGATTGGGGCCACGAGGACAGACACCAGGGCTTCTGAGCTCTGCTCAGTCCCTGGCTTTCCACAGTGTGGAATTTAAGTTCCCCTCTAAGCTGATGTTACCTGAGCACCATTCCCACCACAGTCACCCTTACCTGGGGTTGTCCCCACCAGTGAAGGAGGGCCGGGTGCTTGTCCTGGGGGAAACTCAGCTGCAGTGCTCAGGAAAAGCCTTCATTTTAGATGGTCACTGAATTTGAAACAGAGTTCTTCCTCAAACTTTGAGACATGCCTTTGTGATGCTGCTAGCTGATGATAGCTATTTTTGTCAAACAAGTTTCTTATTAAAATGCTATTTAATTTTTAAATTTGATGCAGTGACACCTTAACTCGGCCTTGTTATTTCTTTCTACTTAAAACAGTGAAGCTTTTACTGCAAAAGCATCCACCCAAATCTTGCTCTTTCCACTCACTGGAACAATACAGGAGCTTTCTTGGCAGACACTCCCTGCAGTAATTTAGAAGTGAACTGCAGAGGGGTAGGAAAAGTGGTTTTATCTCACCAGCTGCATCTGCTGCTGTGCTGCTGCCCCGGGACAGGCAGAGCTGGCTGAAATGAAGGGAGGCTCTGTTTTCCTGCTCGGAGTTCAGGCTGAACTCCCTGGGAAGCCAGGATGTCTCTTCCCTCGCTGTTGGGGCTTCCTCTGCACATCAAAGGAAGGAGATCTGCAGGATTCCTGTGTGCTCTGCTGCTCAGGATCCTGCTCAGGACCTGGGCATGCAGCAGTTCCCAGGGTCAATCCTTTGGGAACCGGCAGCACATGGGGTGGGCAAGAGGCTGGAGCACCTGGAGGGCAGCAGAGACCACACCAGCACAGGTTCACTTGAAGGTCTGCACGAAACAAGAGAGCCTTAAACCCTGCAGCAGCTCATTGCTACCAGGCCTAAATCCGTGGAGTTACTCAGGGGAACTTAGGATGCGTTTCCCTGAACCCCTCACTCCCACCACTAACAGCTGTGCCCTAAAAATACAGACCCGTGGGCTAAAATAACAGGATTACGAAGCTTTGGAATGTGATAAAGCACAGCAGCAACCACCTTGGAATGGCAACAGCAGTGGGAAGCACTTGTGCAGGACCCAGGGAGCAGGTTAAACCTTGCTGGTGGCATCAGCCAGGACCAGCTTTACTGGTCTAACCCTGGTGAATGCTCAGCCGAGCCCTGGGAAAGTGGTACAAGCTCAGCATCCAGACAGCTCACATGCTGCAGCCAGGCACTCTGGGGGTCCAGGGGTTTGGAAGAGGAGGAGGAAAACCTTGCAGGAGGGGATTTGACCACCACCAAGCTCTCCACACAGCGAGGGGACACCCTGGGTGGTTCCTGGGAAGGTCACCACAGCCGAGGAATCGCTCCAGCCCTTACCACAGGAAAGGAGACAAACCAGAGCTGACACCAGTGTGCACAGGGAAGGTTTATTCTCATCACTAACACCTGGGAAGTGGTTTGGAGGAACAAAGTAATCTTCAGACAGGGAGGAAAAGCAGGTTTTTTTCCTCCCATAAACAAGATGATAGTTGTAAAGAAAATTAAACCACAACAGCTGCTCACTCTGAAGTCCACAGGATTTTTCCAGCTCCACCCTCGTGCAAAGCCAGCTCTTCCCATTAAATATGAGAATAAATTCCTTTGCCCTGGGACTAGAGCCAGACCAAACCCTACTAGCAGCCACTCAAAAAGAAAACCAAAAAACCCCAACAAAATACCCAAACAAAACATATTTTCTTAATAAAAAGCACAAACCACTTCAGTTCTTGCAAGCACTCTGCTTACAGCATCATTCCTGCCCTTCTTCCCCACCCCATACCGTGGGGCTCCAGGGAAAAAGGACCTCAAGACAGCAGCAATACATGTGTGAAAAGGTGACCAGACAGACTGGAAGTGACACTGTACCCACAGACAGACACTGGCAGCCACCCACCCGTCGGGGAGGGGACACAGCCCTGCTGCAGCCTCCAAGGGACTGACACCAGGAGCCTCCCCAGAGCCAGCAGCTCTTTTTCAGGACATCTTCCAGCAAAACACTGCATGGGAAAAGAGCCATGAAGCCCCAGCTCCATGCTGGAAGCAAACCCCTTCCTCGGGGGGAACAAAGAGGTAGAGCTGAGCTCACTCCTTTTGGCAGCTGAAAGGGTTTCCAAGGAATAAACCCCCAGCCCCATTTGCTATGGCCGTACCACCCAGTGCCCAGACAACCACCCAGGTCATCCATAGGGCATATTTTGGATTGGCAATATCCTACAGGCAGGTGAGGCTCTGCCACCCTTTCCCAAGTGCTGGCACAGTGAGACCAAGTGCTGGTGAAAGGACCCACCCAGGGCGCTGCACCTGAGGGGTCTGCAGGACACAGCAGCAGGAAGGAGCTGCTCCCCTCCAGCTCCAGCTGGTCTGGGAGCACAAGGGGAGCCTGACAGCTGGGACAGGCAGAGGACACTGGGAACCAGAGAGTAAACATGCTTCCCTTGGCTCCCAGCACACAGGACTCACCTGTGGGTACTCCAGGTTTGGGCTGCCCTCGCCCCGGGTTTGGCAGAGCCTCCCAGCCAAAGGCTCCTTCTGCCAACACCCACCTCTGCTCAGGCACGTTTTATTCACACAGGAACCATTTTTTTTTTCTCATAAAGTGCAAGAACTTTGCCTCTTACTGACTAGTCAACTAGAAGCATGGCAGCCCTCACAGCAGGGAGCAGCAGGCGGGTGAGGAACATCCCACATCCGGGAGCTCCTGACGCACTGGTCACTCCAGCAGGAGCTCCGGCTCAGACATGGCCCTGTAGAGCACAAAGCCCATCTCATCGATTTCCTCTTCCAACAGCCCGGAGAACAGGTTGATTTTGGGGTTGAAATAGGAAGGCAGGACCCCTTTCTCCAGGTAGGCCACCAGCTCCTCGAGCACCTGCTGGAACCTGTCAGCCAGGCTTTCCTCTGCCCAGTCGGAGCCGGAGTCACTGAGGTGCAGGATGACGTGGGTCACGGGGCTGCCCCCCAGTTTGTGCAGGGTGGGGTGGCTCCTGCAGACACCGTTCAGGATGCGGAGGCAGCGCTGCCGAGCCCCGGCATCGCCGGCATCCAGCTCCTTCACCTTCGAGACCTCTGCCCTGTAAAAGCTCTCGAGCCAGAGGTTTTCCACCAGTCCCTCAGGAGGAAGAGCCAGAAGAACCTTGTCCTCCATTTCCACCACTGGAAAGAGGGTGATGCTCAGCTCGACCTGATCATGTTTGACTTCCAGCTTCAGCTCCCGGGAGGCCACGACGGGGTGGATGACACACCCCAGCAGGCCGCCGATGGCAGGCCAGTTGATGGAGGCCACCAGCATCTTGTGGAGGGTCTCATTGAGCACGTTGGAGGAGAGGTACCGGCCCACCATAAACCTGTCCCAGGGGCTGCACCCACGGGGGAAATACCCCAGATCGACCCTCTTGATCATCCAGTACTGGGGGTTCCTCACCACGGTGTCCTCTCCCGGGATGAGGCTCCAGAGCCCGGCATCGAGGACCACGGGCAGCATGAGGTGGATGTGGTCGGCTGCCAGGACCTCCAGGCCGTCCAGGAGGGCTCCGCTGAGGAAGAGGCGGCCGAAGGGCAGCTCTGGGCACTTGCTCCGCAGGAAGTTCTGCAGTTGGGTGCTGATGCTCCTGGCCAGCTGAGGGACGAGGGACACCTGGATCTCGGGCACAGCCAGACGGCTGCTGTGGTGTGAGAGGAGCTTCTCCTGCAGCGTGAGGCAGCGCAGAGGGCTGGACTTCACCCGAGGAGCCCCCAGAGAGGCAGAGCACGCCCTGGGATCTGTGAGAGGGGAAGGGAGAAGTCACAGCTCTGGGCAGATCATCTTCTGCTGCAGCCAAGGGTGCTCATCCCACCATGTCCCTGAGAGTGTTGCCCAAACACTCCTTGAGCTCTGTCAGCCCCAGGGCCCTGGGGAGCCTGTTCAGTGACCCACCACTCTCTGGGGGAAGAAACTTTTCCTAATATCCTAAACTTCCCCTGCCACAGCTCCAGCCATTCCCTCGGGTCCTGTCACTGGTCACCAGAGTGAAGAGATCAGTGCTGCCCCTCATGAGAGTCCTGCAAATGCTCCTGCCCCAGGTCCAGTATCTCAGGACCTGCCCTGCACTGAGCCAGGCTGCTTTCCCACTTGGAAAAATGCCACCTCTGTAGGCAGCAGGACAAGGCAGCCTTTGTCTGTGGCATCTCCCGAGCACACCTTCCTGCAGGCAGAGCTGACCCAGAAAATGAGGGCAGCCAACACCACTCCAGAGGAGACAAACCCCACCAGCCCCCACCGTGCCATGCTGGCTGGGACACCCGGAGTGTTATCAGAGCTCCTGTCTCCACAGGCATTGCCTAAAAAGGGGCCATGGCTCAGGAGCCTCCCAGGAGGGCAGGCTCCATCGGGTTGGCTTCCCGGACACCGAGCTAAAAATAACACAGGGCTCCCAGAGTGGTGGAGCAGGGCACAGCCAGCCTGGAGCACAGCAAGGTGATCTTCCCAGCTGGACACCCTGAGCCTCACCTGGCGCCAGTGGCCGAGCTGGGGAGAGCAGGGGCTCACTGAGGTCTTCCCTTCTCTGCTTCTTGGGGGGCTTTGGTGTAGTCTTGATCAAGGCCAAGTCCTGCCAGGTCTCCTCCAGGGTCTTCTGCTCAGCTTTGGGATCACCTTCATCCCGAGGGCTGGTGGCTCGGTCAATCAGCTGGAGAGAAGGAAAACCCACAAGGATAAGTCATTATCTTTGTTTCCCCTGAATTACGGGTGACAACAGCCCCTCCGGTGCACACAAGGGGGGACACAGCCCCACGTGGGGCTTCCACTTGGAAAAACACCCAGTTTGGGGGGCCACAAAGGTGCACATCTTCTTCCCGTGGATTTTAAGTGGAAAATAGGTGCCCAAATATGCCTTAAGCCCAGGTGCCTTTCTGGATGGGATACTGTATCCCAGGTTCGTGCTGCTCCAGGCAAAGGGAGCACAGGGCTGTTCACGGTGGGAATGGGCAGCTCCACGCCCACAGCACTGCTGCCAGCACCGGTGGGCATTCGTGCCAAATGCGAGGGACCAGCTCGGGAGCAGCCAGCCAGGTTTGTGGCACATCATTCCCCACCGCACTGGAGACCCAGGCAGCAATCCCGACCCTGCTCCCGTGGGTGCCAGGCTTACCCTCTTGACGGCCAGCGTGGCGATGGCCAGCACGGCCGCGCCGCTCACGCCCAGCACCAGCCTGGCGTTGGCCAGCAGCACATCGAACACGCTGCCCAGCCCGTCGATGAGACCGCCCAGCCCGCCGGGCTCCTGCCGCCGGCCCCGCTGCTGCCAGAACGCCGCCATGGCCGCCCTGCGGGGAACAACGGGGGTCACCCGGGGCGCGGAGGCACAGCCCGCGGGGAGGGAGGTTTTTTGGAGGAGCGGGAGGTTCCGCCGTTCCGCTTCCCTCCGCCCCTGGGGCAAAGGCTCCTGTCGGCGGCGGGACGGCTGGGTGGGGCGGAGGGGCAAGGGTCACCCCGGGGAAGGGTCACCCCCGGGGAAAATGGGCACCCCGGGGAAGGAAGGGACACCCCGGGGAAGGAAGGGACACCCCGGGGAA